CAGCAGGATGAAGATCTTACTGAGACTAAACACTGTAGTAGAAAAGAGCCTTTAATCAACTCCAAAAGCACTTACAGCTTACAAAGCAAAACAATATGATTGAAAGTGTAGCAAGTACTGAATTCAAATTTTCAAATATTTTGTAGCACCATTCCCTACTGTTTCCTGAGAAAATGAGGCTACTTTTTCTGTAAAATGTTTGTTTCAAGACAAAAATTTATTTACTCAAAAGTTTAGAATAAGCTGTCGCTACTTTCCTTGATTTAAATTCATTATCTGCAGCTCAACAGATGCTAAAGTAAAATCTTTCCTGACAGCTTAAACAAGAAGGTTTATCAAGTCGTTCGCTGAACTTGGCAAGACATACATTGTCTTAAACCAACATTTTTTCATCCATCTATCCATATGCCTTAGCAATATTTCAGAATGATAAAAAGTGAGCAGGGATAGGTTAGCCAGGAAATTAGTATCAGAATTGCTGTAACGTTAGATTTTTTGTGTCACAGACACAAAAAATTTTGTGTCTGTGACACAAAATTTTCCCTTTTTACATTATCAGCATTTCTGATAATATATATTAATACAAATATTAATTGATAAAAACACAAACAGGGGTAGTTTTATATACTAAAAGCTGTTCCCTCAAATAAGTTGGGGTTTTTTGTTTTGAAGAGGTCGCTTCATCTCTTCATATGCCTGAATATCATTCAGGTGATTAAGATGTAATATGGAAATGTATACAGCACAGACACTGAAACATCTAGACACTTACTACTGAGACTTACTCCTGTTTGCAAGGTCACTCAGTATAACAATGGCAGAGCAGATGAAACCAGAAGACATGCTATGGTTTAAGCCAAAGCTATAGGCTTAACGAAAAAAAAAAACAATACAAGCTATATATTCTGTGTTATGAAGGTTCTGCATTATAATCAGGTTATTGTCACAGTTTCTTCCATAGTCTAGTAAGTAACATAAACCACTAAGCCACCATTAGGACATCTTCAAGCTACTACACTTTACGTAAAATAGCCTTAGTGCAGCAAGTAAATACTCCTGTGGTCTGATTTGTAGCTAACACTGAATTAACACTGGCATATGCTAGACTTTAGTTCCATTGCAATTAGCTGATAATTGCAGAGTGAGAGATAAATGCCGTCTCCTGACCTTTAGGTCGAACGTGAGATTTCTACTATAATGTAAGCATATGTCCTAGATTGCATCTCAGAGGTGTTTCAGTAAAACTTAATACCATTCAAATAGGTCGTTACTAAATATTGTCTAGTCGCAACTTGACACTGAGAAAATGATTTTCTAATCTGATTTATCCATCGTGATCTCATTTAATAAAGCCTAAAGTAACAATGTACTAAAGAAAAAGATACTGTTCTAGTATAATCTGATACAAATAACTCATTTTATAAGAATTACCCTTTTACAAATTATTATGTATGATATAGGACAGAAATAATGATTTTACTATACAAAAAGTACATATTTTTAGACTCTAAAAAAAAGATGCATCTTAATTTGATGGAACGGCTACAAAATTCTCAAACTGTAAGAATGCATATTAGGCGACAAAACCTGAAATACTGGACAAAATCTTTTGGATGACAACCCATTTAGTTTCACATACACTGGGAAGTAAGAAAATACTTCTTCTCTAGCAGTGCTAAAAAATAGAAGTGTCCCTGACATCTTAGATATCATCAGAAAAAAATATAAACTGCTTAAAGCAGTAAATATGAGGGGCTGCAGGTCTCTGATCAAAATATAACAAAAAAGTTACCAAAACGGGAATCAAGGTGTGAAATATGAAACAGAAGTATGAAAATATCAAATAAGAAAATACTTTGTAGCAAAGGCTGGGTAACTGCATATGAAATAAGAACAAAGAGGCATTCGGAGATTTATTTCAACAGAGAAATAAGTGTTACAACTGAAACCTTTAAGGCGGGAAAGAGAAGAAAAGGGCATGATTGCATACGTCAGATACCTTTTTCATGTGAATCCTGCCAGTGCGACGCATGCAGGCTTACATACTTTAGATAGAACTCTCAGGATGAAATAGTAACAGTGAAAGAAAGTAAATGTTTTTTATTTATTTATTTGTCTTTGCAGGAAGAAATATACATTTTCACAGAAATATACAAATTCACACTACCTAGCAAACGGTGAAACATTTTAAAATATTTCAAGAGGTACTACTTACACAGAAATATGTAAGAAATGAAGAATGGGGGTTTTTTATACTTAATTTTCTGATTCATTATAACATAAAACAAGCATTCTAAGCATTGGGAATTGCGTTTCCCTTCTGTAAATGAAACTGATGACCTATGAGAGTCGTTAACCATTCTGCCCTGAAAACTTTGGCTAGCTTCGTTCCTCTACCTGATGAAAATGGAGGGTGTGTATTCACAGAACCACAGCATGGTAGGGGTTGGAATGGACCTTTGGAGATCATCTAGTCCAATCCCTCAAAGCACGTTCACCTGGAGTGGGTTGGACAGGACTGCATCCAGGCAGGTTTCAGTGAACACTTCTGCCTGCTCCTGACCATGAGCTGAACGCTTTGTACCCGAGCTGTAGCCAACACGCTGCCTGTTGCGTACCGAAACAGCCATGTCGCAAAGCCACCCACCCGCGTACCACGCGTGCTGCGATCTCCTCCTTCCTACTGCTCCCCTCGAGGTCCGAGGCACGCTGTCTGCCAGAACGGGTACGGCACGAGGTACACACAGCATCGTTTTGGCAGGATGGCGCTACCGGATGGGTGCATGAAAAGTACCATAGGAGGGAAGAAAAGTGCAACTTCCACACCGAGCTGAGCCTCCGGTTTAACGAAAAAAAATAAAACAAACAACAGCCAACCCCCACCTTTTGCCTATTGAAACCACTTTTAAATAAGTATCCGCCTGAGCAAGTAAACTTCCTTAGCACGAGTTATTTGCCCGCCCAGGGCTGCGGGCAAGCGCCTCCTCCGCACCCCCCTCCGGCCTCTGCCCGTGCCGACCAGGCCGCCGCACAGCAGGGCGGGCAGCCGCCCACACC